TCTCTAAACAAGAAAGGGAGCTCAAAAATATTAGAGAAAGTCGTCTCTGACCTTAACGTGACCGAGTTGCGAGATTTGGATCCCAGAGTTTGGAACTGGGATTGGACGACCAGCTTTTAGACGGTGAAAGAACCATTCTTCAACGGGGTTGTAGTTCAATGGACCGTAGATGTAGACAGGACGAATAGAGGTCCAGTTTACACCTTTTGATTCTAATAAGCTTTCAGTTTCCAGCTTCCCCTTGTGCCTGCTCTTGGGATCAACTGCATCCACCTGCATCAGTTATGTCCCAAATAAAAAATGATTACAAAAGGGCTTGGGTAATTAACTTCTGAGTGACACCATATGACCAAATCACATATTCATATTATTTATGTGGAGAATCCACAGATATTACAAGCTCAAAATATTCCAGGAATAATAATAAGATATATTTTACATACCTCACAGTGTGGCAAGATATCAGATTTCAGATAAACACCAGCTGAAGAACAGTAGATGTACCTATAACATTAACCGCATATTACAATTTCGTAGGCTGTTTTGTGAGAGCTGGTCAACCAAACGAACAAGCTATGAAGATGTCGTGTATAACTTACTGCTCTAGTTTAGGCAGTGCATCTATTATGGGCTCAACTTCTTCTGCCTCCCTTCCTGAGGAAAAAGAATAAAACATACCAAATGATGGTTTTCACGAGGGAAAAGACAGCACATTTAGCATGTACAATAACAACAGAGAGACTTGTTGTTACCGTTGATATCATAAACAACATCGAAGCCTTCTGCTGAAAGACTTGATTTCACAAAGTCATAGTCCTTTCTGTCTCCTTTTAAGTGAAGAATCTAGAAAAGACCAAGAAAAACCATTCATTTTCGTTGGAATCTGAAACCATCTTATTAGATTTGAGTGCACATACTAGTTGTTTCACAAGGAATGCGTATTAAAATACCTTGGAAGAAAAATCAGCAAAGTCTTGGTCAGATTCACCAGGCAATTGTTTGGCAATAGGAGATTTTCCTCTTGTAAATAATGTAACCTGCAAAAGCAAGGATTTGCCACCATGATGACAATGAACAACGAATATCCTTGACAGTTTGATCGGTCATGGAAGAGAAATGAGAACCTGATGTCCTTCTTTGACAAGGAGCCTGGACAAGAACACACCGATGAATCGAGTGCCACCCATGATCAGAATCTTCTTTTCGCTCGATGCTGAAACATGGAGTGCTCCTTTTGGCTGATAAACCTTCCTCTTGTACTGCAATTTCAACAACAAAGCCAACTCAGCAAATGTTATCTCCAAAATACAAACTGTAGTTAGAGCTTCACAGAAATAAATCATTCTGGACACAAATTGAAATCCATTGGAACTCAAACCAGAACCACACCAACACTTTCACAATTATGGCAAAGAAGCTCCTAAGCTTTCCTCAAATAAAAAAAATCAGAGCTGAAACCAGAGTTCCCACCAATACTTTTAGACAAACATTTCTTAATCTAGACAATGATCCATTGGTCAAGAAGCCAAACAAGTGAGCAAAGAGCTAAAAGACTGAGAATTGATCAGAACCCCATTGGCATAAACCCATAAAAAAAGATAACTTTGAAACGTGCTAAGAATATTAGGAAGCAGACATGTAAATATATAGATGTTAGAAACGGATTTTGGTCAATCAGACACACAAAAGCAGAACCCATCTGATTATTTGATCACAAAGAGTAAAAAAGAGTGACCTGGACTTGTAAATGGAGCTTAGCGCCATTAAAGTCAGAGAGAGAAGAAGTAAGGAGAGAGAAAGAAGGCTGATGCTGTTGCAACATCATCATCTTCGCCATGGTTGGTTCACTCTCTGAGCAAACAAAGAAAATATCTTTATTTGAAATCGAAGTGTGTGAGTGTCTCTGTGTATGGTTCTCGAGGACCCATCATCTTGTTCCTTGAGATCATTAAGTGTTTACGATTTGTTTTTTTTTTTGGATAAGACAAATTATCTCAACCTCTCGCGATTTCATGGTCACATATTTTACAGCCATTGTCGTCCTCTTCTTCTTTTGCCTTGTTGTGGATAGTGGAATGTGGATGATTCTGATCGAAACGTAAAGTTTTGTGGTGAAATCGTAATTAACATTTTTCTATGGGCTTATTGGGCCTTAGAGGAGTTAAAGTTGGGTCTATGGGCTAATTTAGAGTTAAATACATTTACAAAAAGAGAAGAAATCACGTAGCACACACGCGCAAAGAGTTTGAAGATCTGATACAGAAATTCAGTCTCTCGGAGGGAAGATCGGTGTTTTCCATATCGGAAAGGTGTTTTTGTTTCTGCTAATCAGCTAGTTTTTCGAATTTTCTGGAGTGATTCTTTTGGATACATCGGAAAGATGGATCCTAACCAGGTGAATTTTTAGCTGTCTCGCTTGCTTTCTCTACGTCTCATTTCCTTTTGATTTCTGAGTTCGATTGCATATCAGATTCTGTATTAGCCTAGATTACTGGTTCGATCTGGATGTTATTGGGTTAGATCTGTGTTCTACGTTTTGGTCTTCGAGAAAATCCGGAGATTAGATGTTGGAAGGTTTGAGCTAGGTTAGAATGGAATTACCAGTAAATTTAAATCCTTAATGGTTTACCTTATAGCGACAATGTGTAACGAGAGAAAATCTTTTACCAGCCTTATTTTGGTTATAACTGGGAAATTGCTGCATGAACTCCTAAATTGTTTTATATCAGCTGTGATTGTTCTCATTCTTCAGGCTTACGGAAAATTTTGTTCTTTCAATGCAGCCACCAGTTGAAAACTATGCAAACCCAAAGACATGTCTCTTCCATGTTCTCTTCAAGGTATAATCAGAGTATATATGTTTAGCTGTTTGTATAAGTATGTCAAAGAAATGGTTAGATAGAGGACAATGGTAACAA